TTCAAATCCCGCCGAACGCCTCGAGTTTTTTCACAATTGGGTCAACTCAAGCGTGAAATCGTTTCCAGTTATATGGATTTTTCAGTTTGCGTAACATTAATTTCACGAAGTCTGAATCTCACAGTTTTGGTAGAACAAAATAGTTATTTGTAGGGATGGGAACTAGAGCAACTTTGAGATATTGAGCCCGAAAACCTCAGTGAGAAAAGAGTAAACGACGTTAAACGTTGCAGCCAATCACACGCAGAGAACCAGAGCCAGATTCCTGCCCGTACTGCCCGACATTTTAAGAAATATACCGTTGTGTGGAAGAAATCTATAATTTTAAACTTCTACATCGGCCTCTCCGAACGTAACCCTAGTTTCGGTCATCTGAGAAGTGACTCTGTTGTGCTGATTTCATCCAAGTAAATGGTGGCGTTAAGCAAGGATATTAACGAAGTCTCGACTAAATCTGCCCTTAAGGCTTGCCCAAGTACGACTGACTGGTCTGTGTGTTTGACTCTAATAACTAATATGTTACTTTTCCGGTTTCTCTGTTTAGGTAAGCTTTCGCGAACTCTGATTAGTTCAAACGCGTATGGTAGTGGTAGCAACATATGAGAACGTCTGGACTTCAGCGGTTCGCGCTTCTGTGGACTTTGTTCACCGAGAGCCTATCCGTCCACTCACGCTGATTTTTGACTGGGAAGGAGATAGGACGAGAGTGCGCTAACCACAGGGCGCCCGCTCCATACGTAGGACTCGAGAGCAGAGCTTAACCCAATTTCTAGCCACGCCCTCACTTCGATACACCCACATACTAATCGCCGTCCGATCGATCGTTCTAAGATGTGGGAGGGCACATCGGAGATGCTCTTACTTGCCTACAGTTAACGTTCGTGCCAATCCGCGGCTAGGTTCTTTCAATTACCCGTCTCCTGGGTGTCTGTGCCTGAGCCCTTTTGGTCAAAGATGGTGGCCGATTTTAAAATCATACCTTTCAAACAAAATGAAGATCAGACTTTTTAATGGCAACAATAGGCTAATTGATCTTTATAATGATAAGTAAATAGCAAGAAAAATCTCGCTACAGCAACTCATACGGTAAAATACGGATGATTTATTGGGAAAGGTAGTTGACAAGGCATGAAAGCATTTCATAGGTATCTCGTCCAAGACTCGTGAGGACTAAACATCCAAGACCAGATAGGCTAGGGCCGAGATATCAAACAAACGACTGACGAGGATCGCGGTAAGTTGTGGCCACCTGCTCAAAATATATTCTGATGAATGTTTTACTGACTTCCTAAATAACGCTTCGGTAATAAGTCTGAATGAGATAAAGCGTTCTGGAAACGAAAATGTAGTCAAGGAGAGTTTCCTATATGAGGATTGGATGACCTGTTAGTCTGAAATGTCAGTACCCAGTTAGTCCTCTTTTCTTTTGGGATTTACAACTAATCCTTCGTGACAAGCTCGCAGCACTTTTCTTCGTGACTACCTAACACCGCTCAAAAAATAGATTATTCTATCTGAAGGACGAAGCAAGTAGGGTTTTGGAAACTTGTAACTCATTGTGTTAGGGAAGTGAATAATGTGTCAACTAGAGAGATGAAGGTCTATATACAGGAATATTTGCAAAACATTGTAACGTTATGTGTACTCGGCGATAACTCTGCCAAAGTGTACCGACCAAACTCTTCAAGCATTGGAAAAGGAAACTACAGTCTTCTCACTTTATTCGCCCAGATGAATCTTGGACATAAATTTGTCTATGTACACCCATCATAGCCTACATGACAAGTTTGAAAACCCCAATTTCTTCTTTTCCGTGAACTCAAAATTAGAGCAGTTTCCTCACCTAAAGAATACCTTCCCGAAGGCACTGTCTTAGTGGTCACATATGTAAGTTGTTGTCTCAACAACGTACTGACATTTTGAAAAAGACTGTTGCCTGCTCCTTTTATAATATCAATGCAACTATCTTTCTTTATGTCCAGAACCAACGAATATGTTTTTTTTGAATTCAATTACAACCACGATAGAACAGCACTTATAAAGTGGTCGGTACCTACGATTTATCGACTATGCAATGCTTCTTTTGCGATGAGAAACGGCATCAACTTAAGTGTGACGAATTGCCCTGTGCGAATTTAGCACGGCTCTATGGATGCCTTCTTACCTTTTTCCGCCAGATCCCCTGCTGTGGACAAAAAATAAGTCCAAATGTATGCCTAAGCATGAATATCTGCCTCTTTTCTGTCCCTCGCAGAGCAGGAACCTCTCTTTACCCTAAATTTACATCCTATTTTGTTTGAGGGAATAATTAGTAGCACTTGCGGCATGAGGTCAGCAAAGGAAGATTTGCCGCGGTCAAGGATGCGTCTGCTTTTCAACACCGATCATGCGCCTTTAGTCTAATAAACAACTGGGTGAGGTTGCAAATGTCCTTTGTTACTTGCGATTGGGAGATGTGCTTGCTGCCAACATCAAATAAGCAACCGATTCTCAACCCAGTTTTTTATTGCCTTGAGCGAATCTATTTCTATATTTAACGTTTGCACTCAGTCACTAGTGTACAGAAATCAGGGTGAAACCTCCTTCCAAACCTCTGAATACATCGGAAATCTGAATCTGGCCACCTCGTTACTCTTTTGATGGCCACAATTTAAGGTTCCTCAATTCTTAAGAATGCGTGTGATCTCCCAGTTTTCCCAGTAGGTCTTGACTCCTAAGATGATCTGTAGTTGCCCCTTTTAAACAATTTACAAATAAAAATGTGTTGTTTGCCTCTATTCCCAGGACTCCCTTTGCAACCTGAGTGGTCTGGCATCTGCAATGCAGGACGAAAGAGAGGCCATACAAAATGCCATACAGACCAACGCCCAGAGCCTGCACGAATACATTGATCGAGTAACCCAACAGATGCAAGCCAACCTTATTCAGGTGTCTGAGAACGCGATAAACTCTTTCCATCAGAAGGCCTTCGGTATACTACTATTCCTGGGCTGCAGCGAATCCGCCACCCGGTTTGTGCAAGAACTGATGGAACATGGTCGGTCAGTTGCTAGTTTGATTTCAATTTCTGCCAATAAATCGAATACGAATTGAATTCCCTACCGTCAATATATTAACCGTTTTGCTTAATTTTGGATTCCTGGGGAATTTTGAGAGGCAGTCATATCGTAGGAAGCACCAAGCGGGATGTACGCTTTCTGCAGTTTTTTTGTCCCCTCTGACAAGGCGTGTACCGTGCGTGCATACATTAATTAGCACTGCCTCCGTCGACGTTAAACCTGAAAGCTGGGCAGGAAAAATAGAGCGATGCTCATATTGTTTTAGTAATTGTTCGTGCTCTCGATCCAGCTGGAGCTACTTTATTAAGGCACCTATCAGCTCGGTGGTAAGAATACTATTGAAATCCCGTAGTGGCGTGTTTCGAACTTTACATAAGAGCGGACGATCGCTTCAAGAAATCGTTGATCCCTCGAAATGGGGTTTCAAGTAACTGAATCTAAGCTCAACACAGAGACCAGTTTTTCCCTCTTGCAATAGAGCCGGGCTAAAGTGATTGTAGGACTAGCATAATTATAAACTGTTGATAGAAGCAGACAAGCGAGTACTGGGAAGCAGATCAGAAGGAAATTTGATCCCTTGAACAATATATTTATTGAAAAGTAAACTTATCTTTGATAAAGGTTGAAAGTTATCCAGCAGACTACGTAGAAACTAAATTCTGAGGACTACTCCGGTGAAGCAAGATCTTGACTGCCAAACTGAAACGAGCCAATGAAGACGTGGCCTCATTTGTGGTTATAGTTTATGTGAAAAATGGTCTTTAAGGCGCAGTAGACGAATATAAAACGCTGAAAAGTACGACATATGACCTAAGCATCCAGAGTTTTGTGGTCCCCTGTTGAATTGCTCCCTTATTGTGATTGGTCTACGCCTTCATTTCC